ATGAATATAGTATGTATAAATTTTTTATTGATAATAAAAATGTATAAAAAATTGCATAAAAAATGTATAAAAAAAGCACAACCTTTAGCTGTACTTGTTTATGAATTAATACCAAGTTGCATTATCTTGGATTTAAGTGTGGCTAAATATCTTTATCTTCCATGTTCCTTTATCTCTACCTTTCTGTCAAAATAAAAAAAGATAGACATATTCGAGTTTAGCTTAAAGCCAAAATAACATTAATATAATCCAGCCTGAATTGAACATAAATTATCCACATAAAGAAAAGAAAGTGTAACTGCAAGATAAAACGCTTACACACTAGTATTTTATTTAATATTATAATATTATTAGGACCTTGAATAAGTTCTCGACTTGTTTTTTAGTTAAAAAAAACATTAATTTAAAATATAAGGCTTACAATAACTTTACTCAAAGTATTGTCCATCATTAGAGACCACTTTCTCCCATCTTTCTGGCAGTAATTGAATCCCCCGTCGAAAAAACGATTCATCTTTTGACGCAATCCATGAATCGACCCATTTTTCGGTTTCTTCGAAAGAATGGAAGCGCTGCTCGCTCAAACCATGCGCCATCGACCGAAACAAGTGGTAATCCGAGGGGGCTATGTCCGGTGAATACGGCGGGTGAGGTAGAACTTCCCATTGAAGCGTTTCCAGGTAAGTTTTGACTGGTTTTGCCACATGTGGCCGAGCATTGTCATGTAACAAAATGACTTTGTCGTGTCTCTGCCCGTATAGTGGCCGCTTTTCTTTTAGAGCTCGACTCAAACGCATCATCTGAAGTCGATAGCGAGCTCCCGTGATAGTTTCATTAGGTTTCTTCGTCTTCAAACTTTGTCGGTGCTCCAGAACGTTCTTTATCTTCAAGGTCAAAGTCATTATTTTTAAAGCGCCTAAACCAGTCTCTGCATGTCGTATTCGACAGAGCATTGTCACCATATGTTTCAACAAGAATTCTGTGTGCTTCAGCCGCAGATTTCTTTTGAATAAAGCAGTGCAATAAAATTCCCCGCAAAAACACTTTATTTGGCACAAAAGTAGACATTTTCGCAATAGGTAATTAAACACGTGGTTGACACTGTGGTAAACTGTATCTACTAGAATTTGAGGTTACATATAGTACTACTTAGCTGATGCGTTTCCGTACGAAATTCCATGCACAGAGTGCCGCTACGCCATCTTTTAAGAAACAGCGAGAACTTATTCAAGGACCTAATACATTATTTCAATCTTGCAAAAGAATTTCATATAATCAATTTGCACATAAAAAATGTCAAATTCTACAATTAAATTTTTTATTTTTAGACTCAAGCTGGATAATTGTATTTAATATAGAAACATTTTTGTAATAGTGCGTGTTTAAATTACTCATTTAATTTAATATTTTCAGCAGTTTTTATTATAGATTGCCTAATATTAAATCGATAGATAACTGATTATAAACCACACTTTAATAAATTTCTAGTCAGTATATTAATTGTTTTATGAAGAGGGAAACTGACGCGCAAGAAACTGCGGTATTACAATTTAAATGATACCGTTTTAGTAATTGGAGATCCCGCTATCTCACAGTAAGTTGAGTTGCAAGATTGTTAACAACGGTCCGAATATCATGCTCGTTATTTTTACGGCCACAATGAATCTTTCAGGCACGCTGTATGTTATAAAAACACCAATTTCCTAAATGGTTCGCGTACTAACGAACACCGTCGCAATTAGTGTAGTTATAGTTTAATAAACAACACACAAAGTTTCACCGTTCAAATAGTTCGCAGGATAGGCATTAGATTTTTCATAATCGCGCACGTCGCTCGATTTGTTCCATCTAATACAGAAATGTCGGAAATGAAATAATGCGAGACAATCGCGGAACTCAGCTTTTTGCACAATGAGTGATACATCTTGCTGGACCAATGATTTACTGTTCCGTTCAAAGAATTCTAAAATAATTTGCAATACGACCAAATATTTATATATATATAAAAATAAGTTAAGAATTATAATATACTTGAATTTTAGTATTATTATTATTTGACACTTTGATAAAACATAAATAACCGACGAGCATAAAGTCGAAACAAATAAAAGTAAAAGTTTTCAGATTTAAAAAAATTGCATAATAATATTTTCTTGTATATTTGTTAAAATACGAAACTGTATATTACTTCGTACTTCACTTTATATCGTCCCGTATTTCCTCGGCAATTTTACATTCGTATTTATGCAATAAACAATATTATTTAACAATTCGTCAGAAATAATAGAGAATATCTGCATGAGAAAAATCAACATGCAAAAGTGACGTGCAAATTCTATTCTCTTTTCCCTTGACATTGCTGCAAGTGAAAAGACTCGTGGAGAATGCAATTTTAATTACGACACCTCGACGAAGCAGAGATAATGGGCAAGCGTAAAGTCAGAACAAGCGATGGCAAATGCTTTCAATTTGAAAAAAGTTGCATAACAATAATATCTTCCCGTATGCTTAATAAGATGCAAATAAACAATAGAGAGCATGAATGCACGGTAAAAAGTAGCAGCGAAAGGGAAGTCTACAGACTATAGTTTCTTTCTCCAATCGTTGTAGAGTCCCGGCCGCTGTAAAAGGAGGAAGGACTGATCTTCCGCTACGTAATGATTTCACGTAAAAAAAAACGCCAGAACGTCTCGATGTTCAGGAAGCCACTCGAGATGACTGCGGTCGCATGTCTCACTCTTTCATTTCCGAGTATTCGCGTCTTTACGGGCAAGCCTATCACATCTTTGAATCCGTAATGCCGCCCATTAAGCCATCTTAATCTTCATGGTTTAATGACATGCAAAACGTAATAAGCGAGTCGCACTGACTGCGTAGACAACAACGATTCAACTCATTTCGTTTCGTTCGGATTGCCATAATCATTCGGCAAATACACCGCTTGGAGAACACGCATCGCTTTAACGCGCGGCCGTGAGCAACCTATAATATTATAATTGCACGCTCGCGCCGGTAAACATGAGGAAAATGGAAATTCCCTTTAATCGTGGGAAAGCTGATCGATCGAGCAAATTTGTCGATACGCGATATGAGTAAGTAACCTCGGGCGGCGCGCGAATCTCAAGGAAAGCGCGCTTTAATACTTAATACACGATCATCACACACGCCGGGCGGCTTCTCTTTTCGCGGCGGCGCGGTGATTGTCGGGCAAATCGACTTTGAACTTTACTTTCGCCGTGGGCTTTTTTTTCCCTCTCGTCATAGATTTCTTTCACTAGCTTCCTTTTTCCACATTACCGGCGGATTCATTGACCTACACTCATTATTCCGACGCGTCCGTGTCGGAGAAGAATTATGAGTTCGCAGCAGTGTCCTGTCATTGGAAACGATAATTATGAGAAATTTTCTGCGCGTCGTCTCCCCATTCTATTCAACTAAAAAGTTTCATATCCCTGAACTCATCACATTTCAATTTCTTTTTATCAAAACTGCTTATAGAAAGTGAGTTCTTTTTTCTCGTAAATAATTATTTTATAACATGCAAAAAGCAACGCTATATGAACAGCAATTTTATAAATAATAATATGATTATATTTGAGTGCCATTATTATATTTTTTGCAATTTTTCTATTTAACAGCACAATAAAATTCAGTTTTGATTATTGTTATTTAAAAATAACGGTGTAAAGTACACGACGATGTAAATCGATTGGCAAAATCTCTGTCACTTTTAAAAAGCAATTAAACTTATACTTTTTGTATAAATTTACTATCAAGGTTGTAGGTCAGACTCATTCATGGCCATTACACCATTAGTGTACACCGAGAACAATCGAGATCGCTTTGGAACACAGACCTAAACTCCTGTGAGTGACGGATCGTGAGTTTCCGCAACGGCGGCGACCGTAGGTTCGTCCAATTTTCCACGACAGTAAATTAGCGGTATCGCTCTACCATCGACATTAATTGCGACCGGTCTCCGTTTCGGAGTCGCTTCGGAGTTTCTCTACATTAGAAACGTCGTATATGTCTTCTTCCGCGAGCGACAAACCCGCTACGCGAATAATTAGTTGGCGAGCAAAGTTTGGTGAATGACATTGCATGAAAACGAGAACATCATAATGTAACCGCTTTAATGTTCGTAAATGTTTCTGGAATGTTGTTGAGAATTTATGAGCTTCATGATGTTAATCGATGCGTGGAAATAAATATTCGGTCTGTGCATCGATGCGATAAATGCACAGCAATTTAATTATTAAAATATAAAACAATATATATATATAAAATTTTTATTATCAAGTATAAATAAAATTGAACGACATATTGTTGTCTGTTAATCAGTGCTATCTTTCTTCTTCACTGAAATAATGTTTAAATACTCTTTATCTATAATGCGACATCTTTAAATAATTTTACAAAATTGTATGTGTTACATATTTATTACATAACCAAATTTGTAAATTTAATCAAGTTGAACTTGAATGAAGAATTTTATTCTTGCCATTGACTTAACAGGTGCAACAAGCCTCGCTTATCATATTATTTTATTTATTAATGGATTGTCATTAGGTATGTTACTAATGCATTTTTAAGGTTGTGTTACACTGCCTTTCACAGTCGAATGTCTTTCTATGAGCGTTCCAACCGGAACCCTTTCACGGGGCGTTGTGTTTCGTACTTTCATTCTAACTTATCGAAAAATATAACGTCTCTTGACGTCTTTCTCCAAGCAGAAATGTGTTTCGCGTTCACTTCCTGAGTCTAAAAGTCGCGCACACATTGTTGCATGACTGCTATACGATTTGCTTTCATGTAAGTGAGCGGAAATCAAATTCATCTCTACCGTGTTCCTTTCCTATGTTTACCGAACCGGATCAACTCGCCAAAAAATCGACAAGTCACGGTAATCTTTTACACGTCGTAGAATTTGTTTCAAAAAGATTAATCATTATTTCTGCCCGATTATGTTGCTATTTGTTTGCAAATGTGTCCATTTATCTCGTCCACATAACTATTTAATTTATACGACCACCCTCAGGAATTGTGTATAGAGAACTATTTGAAACGTGTGTATGCACGGCCTTTACTTCCATTAAATTGAATACTACAATTGCGCGTGTTTGCCCGGAGGTAATTTTGTAATTTGCATTTATCCGACAGAGGATATCTTACTGTTTGCCATAGCTGTTTACCATATATGTCCGCTTTGAAATAAACCAGCGAGGAAATGCTTACTTAACTGTATCGACGTTCGCATCCGAAGTAATAATGGTATTATTACACGGTGCAAATTGGAATCGCGCGGATACTCTTTGTAAGATATTTGCATTATAACTGCGAATTATATAAGGTAATTTGACAAAGTGGCGGCGATGTGATTGCAAATTTTACAACTTTCGTAAATCACGCGCAATTTTATTAATGTCCTTTCGAAATTAACCGAGAAATGCTTTCTTGAACCTTCAAATTCTTTAACATTTTATGCTAATATAATATTAAAATTATTTTTTTACAAATACTAAATTTTTATATATAAAAAAACGGAAGAGAATGACTAAAATATGATAAGGTTTTTTAAAAATTAAAATTGCTCGATTTTAAGAAACAAATTTTTTGTGCAATTTTTTGTAATAAAATATTGGTATCATAAAAAATTTGTAGATGAAAGTAATTGCACAAGTCCGCATTGTGCTTATTTTCTTAATTTCATGAAAAGTAGTAGCTTTTTTTAAGATGCCGCAACTAAATGATATGGATTGCTACCATTGACGCTTTCTCTATTCTTAACGTTTTATAATACACATAATCGCTGTGACTTCCGTGTAAAAACTACACGGTGCAATGGACCCAATGTCGAAGAAAGAGGTAGTCACATGTGGGAATGCTAATCCTTTCGTATTTGTTATACCGGTAGAGTTCTTTCTGATGAATATAGTTGCACTGCACTGTAATACATCCTGGAAAAGATCGAAACTCTACCGCAGAATTTTAGTGAAAGGTGGTTAGGATCGAAGTCAGTATATAAAGGTCGATCTTTAACGTGCTCGGTCACTCAACGCTCGATTCCTCGCGCTTATACTATCATTAGCTGTACATTAATCAACATGAATCAAATTGTAAGGTTTGAACAGGCGTTTGCTTTTATGTCATGCGATAAATGTGTGTTTATTGTGTTAAGTAGTGTCAATTAAGATAAATAAAAAAGTCGGAACTTGAATAAAAAGAGTTGAATTACAAAAAAAATAATATACTTAATATTGAAGATAAATTTATTATAGAAAAATTAGATGCATGTCGCAAGATATATTTAATCATTTTTACTTTTAATATAATTTCTTCAATAATAATCATTTTCAAATATTTTTGAGTTGTAGTATTATTGTTTATGTCAAGAAATTAAAAATATTAACATATTGGAATGTAATAAGTAATTGAAAATTTCAGATGTTTTTGCTAAGTCTCGCCTTGTTTGGCAACAAGGTGCTGGCTAGCCATCTTGACACGGATCATGGTGGTTCAACATATGAAGAGAAAACTAAACATGTGGAAATACCAATTATTAAAAAATATGGTAAGCTAATTTTTTGCAAAATATTAATTAAAATGTATTGAATTTGTAGTTTCTTTTTTTTTTACTATATTTGATATTGTACGTTTTTGAGTAAAAATTTTCAAAGATAAAAAGAATATACAATATTCTTTATTTATTAATTAAAAAATTTATCTATAAAAATATATGTAACTATACGCTTTGTTTTAGCTATACATATTCCACATCCTGTGCCTGTCGAAGTGCCTCAGGAAATAAAAATACCAATACCCCAACCCTATAAAGTACCGTTTGAAATCCCTCATCCATATCCGGTCGAGGTCGTTAAACACGTCGAAATACCCATCGAAAAGCTTGAACCTGTTGTCGTCGAAAAACAAGTGAGTACAATAATAACATGAGTTTCTAATTGTGTCTTCACACTGTTTTACATTTGCGCTATATAATTTGTAATTAGTACTTGCGTGTGAATTTTATTTTTACGCACATAAAAATCATACGTGTCAAGCATGTATTTTCTACGTAATTATATTTTGCAGGTTCCTTACGTCGTAGAGAAGCCATATCCCGTTTACGTGGAAAAGAAATTCCCCGTACCGATAGCGAAACCATATCCCGTTCATGTTCCGATCTACAAACATGTAATCCATTATACATCCAAAGGCAAAGGGTGGCATTAGACTTTATAAATATTAGGCATTGTCTTTAAATCGCGCGTTCCTACGCTACAAGAAATCGACTGTGGAGAACAATTCCTTTCGATATTATCAATGTGAATTTTTTATGGACTTTACGAGGATTCTTTTCGCAAGATTATTTAATTATAGATCTTTTCTTAAGATTCGTTGCTGACTGGGAATGAAATAGTAATGCATGTGTTAGCGATTTTATCCATTTTAGGATTAAATCTTGCATGTTGCCAAGTGTAGATAGTTTTGTTATATGTTTTTTTATTTTTGTTGAGTTTTTATTGATGTGAAAATATATAAAAAAAAAAAAAAAATGAAATGAAAATATATATGTTTAATTTGTTAATAAATGATGTATATTATAAATGTTTTTCTATCATTTGCTAATCTAATTAATTTAATATAATAAATAATAACTTATAATAATAATAATTACTTATTAAGTGAATATACAAATAAGTATAATAGAGTGAAACACTCTTTAATCTTTATTTAGATAGAAAAGATTAACAGTTATTTTTTTCCAAAAGAAATAATTATAATAAAATAAGAATTAATGCTCACTGCTGAAAATAAATTAAAACAGTAAATATAATTATATTATTAATTAAATTGCCAAGTGAAATGCTTCACTCCTTATAATTCCGACATCCAATCATCTATGTAAAAGTAGTTAAACAACTTAAAAATCCGATATAGCGATCGTTCAGTAAAACGTCATGAATATATATTGAGGAACGAGAAACTCCGTTTTCTCGTCCTTAGATTTAGAATAAATCCTTCCTGTGTAACAAGGAGAGATTGTATGAAAAGGACGTGTGTAACCTACTGTTTCGTTTCCTCGTCGACGTCTTGATTACGATCGGCCAGATAGAAACTGACTGCAGCCGTAGGGGAAGATTGCACGCGATCTCGATTCGTCGTAATGAGCGCGGCGCGCGCGCGCGCGCGTGTTCTTACATCGACGTGCGAAACCACTTTTACTTGAGATGCACTTTCACTGTTCCGCTCGACGATACGGATAACATCGCGCACGATTCGTGATCTTCAGATTGCGATCTCACTCCCTCTCGCTGGCTGCGCGACCACACCCTCACGCGGTGTCGTGCCTTTCATAAATCGATATCACTGTGTGCACATCCTCCGATCTACGCGTTCGCAACTCGTCGTCGATCGTTCGCGAGTTGCGGCGCGCTTACGGCACCCTTTTTGCACGCGGTTTGCGGCAATAGTTTATTGTTACCACAAATACTAAACGCCCGTTTATTTCTTGTCCGCGGAATAACTTTTGGACGTCGCTTGTAGCGGAGCGAAATTAAATCTTTAAAAAGATTTACGCGCACTTGTTGGTGATTTATATTATTAATTTCTTTTACAGCCTTCAAATAACCTGTTACATTTCAGATGATTTTGTGAAATTCACAGCTTTAAATTTTTTATTTTTGCAAAATTAGATTTTACACAAAAATAATAAAAGTATAATTACAGCTTTTTTGCTTATTTTAATTACTACAACAAATTATTATATGTGCTTGCATATCTCATACAATAATAATCTTTAAAAAATATTTCTCAAACTATTATTTACATAACTTGGTGTGTTATGCTGCATAATTAATCTTTTATAAAATATTGCTAAACTAAGTTTGCATCAGAAAACAATTATCTCTTGAAATAAAACATCAATTCGTAAAATATATTATTGGTTGCACATAAATATTTATATTTTGGTAAATTGCGATCATGCAGCATTTTTTTACAGATTGTTGAACAAGTAAACTAGACCATGGCATTAGCACATTTATGTTGATCGCGTATCTTTGTGTTTCGGTGATACACGCAACTTGGTAAGAGAACAGCATCTGAAGAATTGCGTGCACTAATGCCTAAAACTCTCTCTACTCAAGTCTAAGAATCACTTTATGACCTGATCCATTGCAGGAAGAATAAAGCGCTGAGAGCTGTATAAATGGCAAAAAATTGATAAACCGTGCAAATACTATCATTACTGTCATCATAATCGCATTTATACTTGGTTCTCAGCAGAAACTAATAAAGCACGTATACAATAATGATTCCTGCCACATTTTAACTACCGGAGTCGTTAACCCTGACTCTATTAAGTTTATGATGATGATTTCCGGTTTATAATAGCTTGAGCGTAATAAAGGATTTATGTGTGCAACAAATATATAATTTTTTATTAATCTTAATAATTATTATTGTAGTGTGCTATTAGAGTAAATACTACTATTTTTAATTTAAATTTTTTAATATTTTTGACAAAATTAAAATTTTTTAAATTTGTATAAGATTAGACTGACAAAATTAGTTTTATAATTCCTTTGCATCAAAAAACAGACTTAAATTATGTCATAAATTGCTTTCTGCATAAATGATGCACGCAACAAACTCTCCTAACATATATTATCTAACTTGCAAACGATTTCTCTATACTTTAACAAGCGCCTCACACAATTTGAATCTTACATCACAAGATGCGAAAAAATAAATCTTTTATTATGTATAATTAAATAAATTAAAGTAATATATCCAACTAGAAATAAAACATTGTTAAATTTAATTTCACCAACAAAAATAAATTTCAATCTTATTAAGAAGTTTGCGAACGTAAACGCAAATATTTTCTTTGTTTTAATATTTTATTATTACATAATTTTATTTGCATATATATTAATATAGGTAATTATATTCAGACATTAATTAACGCATGCAGCCATCTTCTGAAAAGGATCTGTTCATCACGTATAATTTTGTTATGATATTCAGAATTAGAGAGACGGCGGTGCTAATTAGAAACGATTACTTCGTCTTACCTTCACGTTCTGCGTACTATACTTACAACATGTTTGTCTGTATCGTGTGATAGTTGTGAGCGGGATGAGGATAATTAGTACGCGGACAGACAGCTTGTTATCCACACAGAGGTCCTGGATACCATAATTCATCTCCATTTTAATTTACTTTACGCATTGCAAAGTCAGTAGGATCTGAAAGGGGCCGAACCACTCTCAACTATGTCGTTGTATCTCTATCTCGTCGACACTCGCATGTACATCTGAACGCTGCTAGAGTTCATGTAATGAGGAGAAGGGAGAAAGTCGGTATATAAAGAGTTGGCCGTGACTTTGAAAGCATCATAGAGTCAGTTGCGCGTACGACAGATAGATACCGTAAAACCGATCAGCCAAGTGTCTTCGTCGCGCAAATCATGAAACTGTTTGTGAGTACTTTTTTAGAAAAACTCAACATTGAATTTCGAATTTAATAATTTTTTTAACTTTTTATTGCATGAACTATATAGATTTTCGTACACACACACACACACACACACATATATATATATATAATACACATAAAATTAAATGATTTATATTTGACGTGATAATAATAAGTATTAACATTTTTAACTAGTATATAATTATTTTTTTAATAGTTTATTAATTTTTCTTTGTAAATATATACATATATCTCATTTTTCTCGTAAAAGACCAATGTTATAATTATATTGGTGTAAACGAAACAAGGCTACAATTAATTGTTTATTACGAAATTGCTGTGCTCTGCGTGACACCATTCCGAATAAGGCTTGCTAAGGCGATTAAAAGAGCAACGTGAACTGTGCATTCGACTGGACAGCTATCTCGTGAAACTGCCAGAAGAAGAGTTTAGCATCGCGATTAGAAAGCGATCAGGATTGACAACATTCTTGTTCGGCGCAGTGATTTTAATGATTTATTTTTATTTACAGGTGTTTGCCACAATGGTGGCCGCTGTGTGGGCCTCGTACGAAGAGGAGCATGGTAGCACTACTTATCACGAGACGTCCAAACCGGTGGAGATACCGATCTACAAGAAATATGCGATACCAATTCCACATCCGGTCGCGGTCCCGGTGCCTCAACAAATTAAGGTTCCAATACCGCAGCCTTATCAGGTTCAGGTCGCAGTTCCACATCCAGTGCCCGTGGAGGTCGTCAAACATGTTGAGATACCTATAGAGAAGCCAGAGCCTTACGTTGTGGAGAAAAAGGTTTTTTATCGACACACATAATTATTAAAAAATGATAATAAGCAACGATGATATATAATTTTGTGCAGAGCGAAATATAGACATAGAATTTGTGAATCAATTCAACGTAATTTTTACTTCATGTAATATTATAAAGTTCTTAAAATAATAAATATAAATACAATGAATAATATGTAATAGATATTAACAAATTTATTATGTTGCAGGTACCGTACGTCGTTGAGAAACCATACCCAGTGACGATAGAAAAGCACTTTCCAGTGCCAATACCTAAACCATATCCAGTACACGTGCCGGTGTACAAGCACGTTTTCCACCATAAGAGCCACGGCTGGAAACATTAATTCATAAGATCAAACAATTTTCTTCAATATTTTTATGCCAAAAATAGCAACAAGTTACATGCGTGCAACAATAGCCGATAAGCGTTTGTACATAGTTTGTTATTCTATATTTAATGTGATGTTTGTTTCAATAAACTGTTTTGTCTTATATACACAATTATATATAGTTATTATTTCTTAAATAAATTCCTTGAGGCAAATAATAAAATTAAATGTTGAAGAATATTCCTTCAAAAGTATTGTAATGATGAAATGATTTTCAACAATTGCGAAATTTTTCTTCGTACGCTAATTTTATTATTTACAATCGCCGCGATCTTAACGCTTTCAAAGATCAGCCGTAGGCTTTTGCGATAAGCACGCAATAAATTCTTCAGACGTTTACTCGGTTTTTTCGTCAAAACATGAGTGCATCCGTAATTATCGTAAATTACATGTGTTCCCACGGGCGACACCTCGGGCGATACGCCGCGTTATAATGTCCAGACTGCGCCGCAGGCCGACGTGTCCACGACGTGGTAAACGACAACGAATAATGTCAACGACGCAATGCGCTATCATGCCCGAGGTGCACCGTCTCTTACACTGTCGCAGAATTTATTCAGGAAATACCGGGGCGTACGCTTACATCATAGACGCTGGCGACCGCTTTTTACGCCGCTTAAGGGAATCACATTCGGCCCGGCAAGAAACTTGCCCTCTCTAAGTGGAGCAAAAGTTTATAAAACCGCGGATTGCGTGCGACGCGCCTCTAGTTTGATCCAGAACTCTTGATCCATTGGTCGTCCTGTAATTTCATAGAAATAAGAAGAAAATCATGTTCAGACTGTTGGTAAGCACACACTGACATTGTATTACTCTATAGTATATTTGGATAATTAATAAATCTCCTATTTTAGAATGTTCTGTTGAACACAAGATACAAGATATTTTAATGTTCTACCCTTAAATCATTAAAATCAAATTTATTGACAAATCGTAATTTTGTCCATTTGTAGAAATAATCATCGTTGATGGTTTAGAATAATTAAATTTTCTACTATTAATATTATTATTTTTTATATATTTTTTTAATAGCGCCAAGCACGAATCTGTAAAAGACAGATTCGTATTAATACGTTTATTTCAATGAGCAAAAATTGTAACAAGCATCATTATTAATCTAATAAATAGATCCTAGAAGTTAGTAGTCAGAAATATTAATTTATACAATAATTTTTTTATTATGTTGCGTACTATTTACAAAAATTTTATACTTTATTTCTTCATGTTTAGTAAATTATAAAAAAACATATTGCAAGCTCCACAGTTCAACATTTTATTATAGCATTTATTGCCAAGTAAAATAAAGCTAATATGCATGACAATATTTTTAAGTGCTCGTTACATTTTACAAAAATGACTTGCCATTCCTTACAAATAACGATAAATTTCGTATAAAATTTTCTACTTGATTTTTTTTAGTAAGGTCTCACATTATTCGTAACAATTCAACGTTCGATAACCGACACACGTTTAATTTCTAGATACCATGCCTGATATGGCTGTCAACAGTGCGCTCGGAGACCGGGACGCAGATGGGCATGCCGGGCGAACCGCTGATGGAGAAAATGTCAGATATCTCGATGCTGAAGGCAAAGAGGGAATCCATCCATCAGCCATGCGAGACAATCTACCCGCACGTTCCCGCTTACACGCAGTCGCATGTTCCCGCTTACACGCCGCCGCACGTTCCCGCCTATGCGCCGCCGCCCGTTTACGTTAAGCCCTTCGTCCAGCAAGCGTACCTGAAGAAGGAGCTGGGCATAGCTCAACCGTTAAGTCACCTGCAATACGTTCACCAGGCACCCGCCTATGCCGGTGTGGTGCCGAAGCCGGCAGTCACGTACGTGAAACCGGCAGTCCCCGCGTTGAACTACCAATCGCTGCATCAGTCGCTGCAATACATCAAACCTGTAATGCCGATTTACCAGAAGCCCATGCTGTCGTACTCGCCGATCTACCAGAAGCCGTTGTATTACGCGCCCATGTATGAGAAGCCTGTCTATCACGACGTGATGCCGAAAGTCTTCTTCAAGAAATACGAAGCGCCGGTTTCCCCGATCGTTTACCAGAAGCCGTTGCTTCACGCACCCCTTCAGTACGCCGCGCCGAAGGTGCTCCAGGTGCAAGCACCGCAGGTGTCCTACGTGAAGCCGGTGGTCCACGCTCAACCATCCATATATGGCCCGCAACCGGTTCATAATTCCGTTATAGTTAAGCCCGTAGATTGTGTGTAGATCGATCGACCTGGAAGATCGAGTCTAAGTCCTCAAAGATGAACAATCGGCGGGCGACATTACACAAGGCTTTTATCGATCTGCATCTTGTAAATGGAAAATAAAGCAGAAGAATTATAATAAAAATTTGTAAAATACCTGATAATTGCATATAAAATCGTAACGGAATTATGTATTTATATGGCAGAATGTGTATTTATAGATGCTAGTAGTAATAAAAAATAGAGAGAAATATGGATTATCTAAATTGACGCAAATTTAATCTATAAATTAAAATTGATAAAGTGTAATAAAATAATAAAATTGATTTCCTTTTTCAATCAATTCTTAATTTTTTATTAAATTAACTTTATTACAAATCCCGATTATTAATTCTTGAATCATTATTTCCCCAATGATTATCATTACTTATGTTTACTATATCTAGAATGTGCGAAATATTGAGATGAAGTCATATAATCGTATTAGAAATACGAAAAGATTTTAAAAATTACTGCATTTCGAAACTTACCAACCATAAATTTTCTCCACTTTTTCAAACTTTCATCTAGAGAAGCAGTTATGTGTATGAATTTCATAAGCGTACTGCATATAATTATGTTACGAAGTTACGGACATCTTCCACGCTTATCTAGATTGCATCTCACGAGATCTCAATTCTTTGGATCGCGAAATTTCCTTACTACGAAACTTTTCTGGAGCATAAAAATAAGATAGTTATATCGCGCTATATTTCTATAGCAGAGAGAATTTGCGTCTCTTCTTTTTTTCTCACACGAGAAACAAATTGATCGCGCGCTATCTTTTGGAGCTAGAGCGACAATCACTGGCGAGCTTTTCATTTACTCCCGCGGATTTCGAAGAATCGCAGTTTCATCACGTACACCACGCAACGCTACCCTACTCACGAATTGCATAACTCGGCAATGAAACGGCGAACTATCTCGCAGTTTTGAAACAACACACACGTGCACGCTTGCGGGCGTAACCGGCCGATTTTCCCATACCCACGTATGAGCCGCAACGCGTCCACGCGAATCTGCACCATGAAACACGAATTGTAAACATCCGTCCGTAATGCATAATATTCACATGAACTTGCGCAACGTCGCCTGGCCACTGTTGTATAAAATAAGAGCCCATGAGAAGATGCCTTCAGTAGAATCGAGCGTTCGTCTAGATTAACCGAAGTGTATTCATTATGAGATACTACGTGAGTGAATATGTTGGAAAATTAAAAAAAAAAAAAGTGCAATTTTAATAATAAGATAAAATTTAATCCTACGGAATTTCATTCACAATTCAATTGTAGAAGGATTTAAATTTATGTTCCAGCTGTTCCTATTAGTGGTCGCCTTTTGCGAGGCGGGCAGGATAAGGAGAGGTATTGATCACACGAATCTTCAGGCTGTTTATCACGGCCACGGCGCTACCAGTTATCAGAATGTGCAAATTGATAATCACAATAGTATAATAGTGCCTACGAACTACGGGGATCCTGAGGAAATTAAAGGTTTGGAGCATCACGTGTATCATCAACCAATTGTTCCAATCGTGGAATCTCACAATGATATAGAACATTACGATACATCTGACTCAGGTAAACCGAAAAATGTACATATAAAAATCAACTTTGCACGTAAAATTAATTTAACGCATCTAAATTTAACTACTATTGTAATATAAACTTTATTAATTTTTAACTAATATTATTTCTAAGACAATTGCATTTTATCACAACAAATCTAGATAAATTGATACATTTGTTTCAGTTCCGTACGAAGAGTTTACCGTTGCCGATGTCAAATCTGACGTTTTCGAGCATTATTTTGATCACAATGATGAGAATTACAATTATGATTTTTATCTATAAAAAATATACATTTAAAAAAATTAAAAGTATTTTTACAAGATTGATTGAAATTAAAATCTCAGGTATTTAACAGACCCATCGCGATACTTAATAGTTGAATAAGGCATTAAAAGCATTTTGTATAAAGCTTTTTTGATATTTATCGTAGCATAATTTTTATTGCATCGTAATTTCCATCAACGCACGAGTACTCTCGCAAAATTAATGGCCGGCAATTCGGAAAGGGGGAATTAACTTGCAGAGAAGTGACTTGTAATCTTTTTATTTCGTCTTGCTCCTTTATATCCAATATAGATATATATGTATAGGATGATATAATAATTTATGTAAATAACATTATACATATTATAATGAAAACAACAACGTGGTAATCATTATACTAGGCTCTCTCGTTTGAAATTTATTTACAATCCTGTGCGGCCATTCGTGTAGGAATGTCGCTTCGTGAAGCGCATCCTTCGATCATGGGATAAAAATTACACGATCTCGAGATTCTAACGCTGCAATACTCTAGTCATTACATCGCAACAGTCACGGGAACTAGCGACTAGGTCCGACCGTGAGACCGTCCCTCAACTCAAGGTACGTATGATCTAGGAATCGTCATGATGATAGCAAGAAATTCCTCACGGCATTAGGCATCAATTTACGAATAAAACAGTCTCGCACACGCACACGCATACACTTCGATAGACTTCGACAATAGTGTTAACAATCGAAAAATATTCACCTCGACGAATCGCAACGGTGGATCGCACCGTTCGATCAGTCCTGATCATGATATACTTTGCGTAAGTGTTTATATACCTAATACTTGACTAGATCACTTTAGTATTTCTTTTTTTCTTTTTTTTATTGACTCTCATTAGTCTAGGTACTTGGAGACTACGTGAGACATATCTGTGTTTATATAAAAAAATACTCGGTTGAATTGAATTAGAAACGTTACTGTAATTACTCGTTCGTTCCTAGCTTCTCGTAACGCGCGACGATTCGGCCGGCGAATGCGAGAACGGTAGCTAACGAAGTTTGATCCCAATTTCAAGTATAATTAATGATAATAGTAAATTGTCTAAAAACACAGTCCTCACTCCCAGCGCGTCCCCGCTACGGAGGAGAATTGCGGAGAAATACTCGGCATGGCACTCATCACACGTAAAATTCAGCCAACATCTTACAAGCCAACTCGTAATCCATGTCTTCGTTCTTGTACATATCCACGATCTGGAAAAACCGTGTAGCTAAAGTAACTGTTTTGAAAAATAAAATTATTTTGTAAAGTAATTTCTGGGAAAACGTGAAAAAAATTATAAATATATATTTATTTATTTAAACTTACTACGACAATAAGCAAACTGTGTTTTCAAAAAAATTTTAGTGTTTACTTAATTTCAAATTAAACTTTTAGTTTCAAATTATATATAATTTTATTTAGAATGTATTATAATTCTGCTTAATCTCCTGATTAAGGAGAGTTCGCAATATTATTCGTAATTTATTTTAAAATATAAATTAATTAATTAAATATTTTAAATTTAAAATCTAGAGCGAATAATAGGAATAATAAAATAAAAAATTCTTTAGGGAAACAAAGATTTATTGTGAAAATATTAAATAAGCCATAATTATCATATAACAAAATAAAAAAAACATAATAAATAAAATAAACTGTAACATTCCATAAATAAAAATTAACTTAATCGTGTGAAATAAAAATATGTAACAAATTAAACATTTTTTAATCGCAAATCCGCTTAATTAAAATACATCAACATTTATATTAAAATAAGAGATTTTATTATAAAAATTTTTTAAATATCCAATTCAATGGAATGTTGAAAAAAATTTGATTAATCAAGTCGCCTTTGATTACAAATAATGTAAATGCAATATCTGTACACAAAAGTCAATAAACTACACTACTGGGAAAATTCCTAGTCTAGCTAGCATTTGTTGTCTTACCGCGTTCATATCCTTCTGTAGCTCCTCTAGTTGTTTCTCGTGGATCACTTTAAGCTTCTCCTTCTCCCTGTTTTGTATCATTTGCGCGATCTTGCGCTCCTCCATGAACTTCTTCGTGTTATTTTGCTGCTTCTCCCTGAGCCTGCCCTCCTTGATCCCACGCGTTTTCAGAGTCTTATCATTCATCACCTCCCTCGCGCTCTCCACCGACAGCCTCGCTTGCCGCGCAGTCATATCCTTCATTTCACGGTCGTGGCGCGCGGTCTGTTGCTTCTGCTGTGCCGATTGCGCGGTCATGCATAATTTGCATAGCTGCGCTCGTCGCTCTTCCAGATGTCCACGGACCAGATCGCGTTCCTCACGCCGCTGCCTGTCAGCAAGACGCGACCACTGAGCGGTCTGCTCGGAAACGGCGCGCCGAACGATAGGGTCCCTCGAAAGTTCCGCTTTGCTGCAATAAACATTGACTTTATTAATTACGCCGTTATTATCTGCTATTTTAATCGCTAATTATCAACTTTATCGATTTTTATACGGATCTAAATTCCGTATATTCTCCAATGCTATCCAAGAATTATCTAATTATATAAATTGTGGTATAGAAAAAAAACTAACTTTTTCCCTTTGAAAATCTTCTCTATAGCAACGCAATGTTGCTTCTGGACAGTCACTTTCTCCTTGTGATGCCTCTTTTTCAAAGATTCCAGTTCCTTCTGCTGTTTCCGTAATACTTTTTGGTAACCCTTTTCTAGTCTCAAAGTTTCCAGCGTGATTGGATCGAATTTCATTTCCTCTGCAAAAGCAAAATGACGTAACAAATGGATTTAGTCTTCAATTGACAATTTCTGCATCCTGCAATTTACCTCGTGGTTTAGCCGGTTCGTGATGATGAGATGCTATGTTGTTCTTGTTGTCCATATTATTTTTGCTGTCATTCTCTTCGATTCCCAAGCCTCGCATTTTATTTTGCGACATACTTTCCGTTTTTCTGAATGCTCGTGGCGCCGTTAAAGCGTCCATAAGTTCTGAAAAATTATTATTAAAATTGAATGTGTAGTAATATTAATTGAAATTGTTATTATATGAAATTTATTTATACAATATTTCATAAAAAATATACGTTTTATTATAAATAAAGAAGACACAAAATATATGCAAAGTAATCTATTTTGACAAAAGATTAGCCAGAAAATATGTCCTATTAAAATTATGATTAATTGCAATTATTTGCAATATCATAGCATATATTTATTTAATTCTACGGCTAAGAAACGATGTTGATCGTACCTTCAAACCCATCTGGCACGTAGATTTTAATCTCAATATTGCAAAATAGCATAGGCAGAGACATAGGAAAATTGGCTTCGGTTCGCAACGCAATGTGCC